ACAAACACTTACACTGTCCAGTACATCATTAATATTATGATTTCCACTCATTTTGCTTTTGTTTGTGCCAAGGCGAATCAATATAAGGTGATAGCAGGAGTACAAAAACAAAAATTTACATGTATTTTGTTTTTGCTTTGGCGGCATAAACTGTCAAAACCTGTAAGTGTGAGTAGAAATTCAAACAAAATTTTTCAATTTGATATCAGAAGCCGTGCGGCGAAACACATACACAAAATCAACTGAGCTAGTAACACCACTTTTTATATATTCTTTTGACATTTATTCTTCTTCTTCTTCTGCTAGCTAATTTCTGCTAGTAAAAATTTCACTAGCAAGAATTTGCAGCTCTCTCGTGTTGTTACGCTCTCGATTCAGTGCTCTCTTGCAAATTTTTTGGGTTATCATACACTTTTCCAGTAAAAGTTTGCAGGTTCCAGTACAAATTAGTACTGACTATTGGTAACTATACAAACCTATTCAAATATCGTCGCCTGGATGGAAAATTGCCGGAAGCGTCATTTTGACAATTTGTGGTTTTTGGATATCTTCTTTAGTTTCCGACTAATTGACTAAAATTTTTTCGGTTATTTGGTACAAATTGCATTAGTATTGCTGTCGTACTAAACTAATCAAGATCTTTCAAATAGAGTTATCTGTTCTTCTTTAGTTTCCGACATATTCAGGTTTATCATGAGTTTCATTTTCTAGAACCGGGTCACTTTTCGTTTGCGTGTGTTCACTACAGGTGGATGAAAAAATTGTTATCTTAATTAATAAAAATTGTTATCACATTTTGGCGTATATCACTAAAACTGACTGCAAATTTTTTGACAAATGTCGTATACGACAAAATTTTATTAAACTCATAAATGGTTGACACTAAACTAAAAAAATAAGATAATTTAAGAGTTTCATGAACTAGTACATAGCATTCTCCGACACTTTGGAGAAAATCTGTAGTCGTGTTTCTGAGAAATTACATTCCAAACTTCAATCGTGAGTTACCGAAAGTAACTTGTGACAATCTTTTATCCAGGGATCTACATAAATTATAGTTGTCATTATTTTCGCAGTTGGAGTATATGCAAGACGAGTAACAGGTATACAAGGATACCTAAATTAGCGCGTTGAACTTGTATATTTATCTCTCTCCAACGCATTAATTCTATATACGTAGGTACCAACGCCTGACAAAGTTATGTCTAAATTTAATAATGGCTCATGGAATGTATTCGTAGATTTTTATTTACTTCATTTCATACATTAGCATTGATGTTTTGTTTTTCATACATTAGTATTGATGTTTTTTACTAAATACCAGGAATAAATATTTAATAAAAAACTATTTCATTTAAGCTTAACCAACTTTTAGTTGCTCGGAGCTAATTTTGGAGCGCTTCACGAAATATTTTCATAGACAGTAAATGCAACCCTGGGTGCATCATTAACGAGCTGAAAAACCAAACAAATAAAAAAATTCCATCTGAACCAATATTCCCAAAAATTATAAAGCAAAACAAAAACCATTTTTTCCAATTTATGCACTATTATTTTTATTATTGCAATACAATTTCGCAGCTCTTCAAACATTTTCCACATTATGCTTTTAGGGCTAGTAGTTTCCGACCCCATTTGCTCGTTTTTTTTTCAATTCTGAATTTAGGCTAGGCTTCATGGGAACTTACTGTGGGTGCAAACAGACCACATTTTGTAAACTGAATTGTGATATTTAATTTTATTTTATAATGAAAAATGAATTTAATGTGCAATTTTTTAAGTTTACTAGATGTAAGACAACTTTTAATTTTCTTTATATATTGCATGCTTTAGTTTTAATTCTGTTTAAGTTAAGTTGTAAAGGTGAAAATAGGCCTCCTGGGCAACCGAGCACATTAAAAAAAAATCGGTAACGCGCGTAAAAGCATACCTCACAAGTGGTGTGGAAAATGCAAGAACAAATATAAATGGAATAATTTTCGAAATTATGAAATGGTTATTGGTATTTTCCATCTCAAAGGGGGTGATTAATTTGAACGTTATTTAAGCTGCCTTTACACGGTCGATTTTTGTCGTTTAACCAAAATCTACCCGTGTAAATTGCAATTCAACCGTAAAATGTAAGCGTTTTGGCTAGTCGATATCTTAAGTAAATTTTCCAGTCGACAGAAATCGACCCGTGAAAAGGCAACTTCAGGAATTTTTTAATTTTCTTTTTTTTTTTTTGCTTGGGCGTCTTTTGAAGATGTGCCAAATTATATTGTCTACTTAAATACAAAACAACAATTTCTTTAAGCCATCTTGTGCAGCAATTTGTTGATCTTATCCTCACGGCTACCGAAATCACCAACCTCAACGTAGTGATTAGCCTTCTTGCGCCAGCCTCGGGCTGATGTGTTGAGCTTGAATAGCAACAGGAAGTTGGGGGCTTTCTTGAAGTGAAGTGAATCAACGCACTGAATTTCGTGCGCTTCGCGAAATTTGCGTTCGATCACAAAGCAGAGATTGGGACACGCTTGACCATTCCACGTTTGTACATCAATTCACAAACTGATTTAAGATTTGGATAACCCCATATAGGGGGTTCGGCATACGTAGCATATTAATGGTTGCCTTGCTCAATTTAATGAACACACCGTTTTAATGTGGCGAAGACAGAACTGTAAAACTACGCACTTTTTGTGCAACTTTGTTGAGGCCCGTCGAATTGGCCGCATTCTTTTGCCACACAGCGTTACTCCATCTCACGGCGTCCATCACGGAGTTTTCTTGTTTGATATTTCTCAGCATGCACCAAGTCTTCACATTTACGGAGTGCAATCACAGCAGAGCGCTTTAGTTTACGTTTGATCAGGGTAGCAATTTGCTGACCTGCTCTTGCTGAACTGCAGCTTCGGCTCGGGGACAGGAGGCAGCTTCCTGGAAGGTTGTCTGCCCTTTGCTTGCGGTTTCTTACCGGCCCATGATGGCAGTCATCTTAACTTGTTACTTAGCACGTTGAAAAGGCGAAAAAAAGTTCGCCAAATGTTTGGAGCACATCGTAAATGAGCCACTCGATTTATAACATTTCTATAAACAATTTAATTAAATACTTTTTATACATAGATATGCTGCAACCATGCACTTACTTTCCCAAATTCCATCCTGTTTATCGGCATAATTTTCCAAATATGCCTGCTACTTCATTACTAATTACTAAATTTTCCAACTGCGCCTTCTTTGTTGGCTTGACATATCCTAAAAAGACAAATTTACATTAAACAATAGAAATCGCAAAAATTAGCAAATAAAATACTCGCTTTGTTTTGTTTTGTTGTCAAATTTCTGAGAAATGTGAATTCACCACGATGCGATAAAGAAAGAACAAGAACCAGGGATGCAATTTTAAGTAAATCTATTATTCAGTGGCAAGGCGCAGAGCGTTCGGGGCAGCAATATTAATTTGTATCAAATATAACATTAAACGGTGGTTCTAATACATTTTTTGATATTATTAACCAGAGTACATACGTTATATGGTATTTCCTTCAAAAATTAATGTACTATATGAACTTTTTTTTCAAATATTTCTTAAGTTTCTTTCATCAGTGCTGAAAAGCAACCATGAGTGTAAGAAATTGTGTGCTACCTAAAATTTCACCCCTGGAAACTTTATCCCCATAAAGGACTTCACCACAGTTTTTTTTACTGGATATACTGAGCTGTAAAGAGAGAGAGCTTAAAAAATAGTAATGTGTAAGCAAATCAATGTTGATAAGTTCCCTTTTTTTAATAAAAAATACATACTAAAAGAAAACAATATATATATTTCTTCAAACAGTGCGTATTTAAAAAAGATAAAAATATATTTCGTAACCTGGTAACATTTTAACAATATAAATATATTCATTAGCATTTACTTCGCTTGTTTGTATTCTATGGTTTCATAAGCAGCCAGTGCAACGTTGGAAACTTTAAAAATTTTCGATAGTGGCCCACGACCATTCGATAGTGCAAAAAATTAGAACCATTCGATACCATCGATAGTTTCACAGCTCTACCGACCGCTTAGATGTGCCTGCTGCCACTCGGGAGGCCCCTGGTTCAATTTCTGGTCCCTGCAACATAAAACAAAGTTTTTAAAATAGCGGTCGACCCTAGGCAGACAATGGCAAACCTCCGAGTGTACTTCTGCCATAAAAAAGCTCCTTTGAAGGTGGATTAAAAGCATTTGATCCATAACAGAAACCACATAAATAACAGTTTCAAAGCTTGCACAAAGTTAACAAAAATTAATCAAACTATAAAAAATTTTTATCAAAATTTCAAACTTTTTATTCAGAATTTGTAAAAAATTTTCGAGTATTCATTTTTGTAGCCCATTTTATTTTAGTAAGTAAAGTGCTAGTTTCAAGTCGCTTCGTTGATGTTATAGAATTTTTTTGTGGATGGTGTGGCGGATTTTTATTCATATAAAAATAGATTTTGTTCATACGTTATTTAGAAGAAAATACTCAACCCTCAAATTTAAAAGAAAATCAACGGTAATTTGTAGAGACTTCAAACTTGAACTTTATTGTCCTAAAATTGAATGGGATACAAAACTGCATACTCGAAAATTTTCTAAAAATCCTGAATTAAAAATTTGAAATTTTGATGCAATTATTCTAACCCGCATCCATCGGCAATTTTTTGTAATACAAAGTACGTTCTGCATCAATGTGATACATATGGAAAAAGACCCTAGCACTCAATGAAATGCTAGGATTTTTTTTCAATTTTTATTAATGACCAATGTTTATTCATTTTCTGATAATAAGGTTAAAAATGCTTGAAAGATCAATGTATGTATACGCATTTGCCGCAAAAAAACCAATTCAAAACATTAACTAGATCGAACTATATTTTAAATTAAAATTATAAAAAAAAAAAATAAACATAAGTTGCAACCAATATCATTTTGAATTTTGCTACTATCTTATTGACTGCGAATGTTTTTGCGACTCATATTTCTTCCATCCATGGAACTCATTTCTGAATCATAAATTCCGGGGACTAAGTAAATGGAAAAAGCGTCTGAAAATGTTTTGGAGTACATTCTTCACATACTTGCGCTTTCGTCCCACACTTTGGTGAAAGTTGGTCACAAATAGAATCGGGAAACGAATGCAATATCATATTTTTCCATTTTTCGAGCGGGAACCTGACGGTGAACATTTTTGATTAATCTGCCAGTATATTTATACTATTATTAAGCTACTTTGTTTTATTACTGACTATAATTCACTATATATTTTAGCATTTTGGTGAAATAACCAAACACGATATGGACAAGGAAATACCACAACTTATTTTGTCTTATGCTACCCGGATAAATGCAGAGCAAGCTGTCATGCGTGGGAAACTTTTTAAAGATAAGCGTTTACAGGTAAATGCAAACATAGGTTGTAACTAATTAATTCTTTTATGATTTCATTTAATTTCAATTAATATCATTCGTATGTACTAATGGTACTTAAGATTAATAAACGAGTATTGTTAAAATACTATTGGGATTAGACAAGCTAAATTTCAATCTCATCTAACAGGTCAGGGTCAGTGTTGCCGCGAATTAATTTTAGTGGTAGCCTAATCCCTTTAAAAAAAAGGGCTAAAAAGAGTTAAAAAAAGGTGTTGTGGCTAAAAATGGTAGCTAAATTTTTTTTACTTACATATACATATATAAGTATACACGCAAACATTTTCAATAAGTAATGGTATAGGAAAACAATGAACTTTGAAAAAAAGCTAATATTTTATCCAACCAAAAACTTTTTTGTATAAAAGGGGAAATATACGACACCAGCTTGCTGGCTCCTTCAAGTGATTGTACCATCAGGCTCATAGCATGCTGGTACAATATTTATTTCTTTACAAATGAGGTCCAGGAAAGATCGAAATGATTAGAGCCGAAATTTCACAATTTTTCTACCATTTTTTTAAACATTGTTCTTTTTTTTTAATTCACAACTGCAACATCGTGAACTTAATCTTCCACAAACACGGCTTTGTCTCATATAGTGCAAGAAATTTCCACCAAAATACTTTTTTCTTAGAAAAATTAGCTAATTTCACCACTCACGACACCAGCATGCTGGTACAATCATAAAATTTTCAAATAATTTTCGAAGTCGCACCAGCATCACAGCCATTTAACAAATTAAGCATATATAAAAACGTAAGGAACATACAATACATATATGTATATATATCAGTCTTTCTTAGTTTAAAAATTCATCTCTTACATAAATGAAAAAAATTAGATCAAATTAAGCATATGGGTGTTTCCAGCGGAAGGTCCACCACGACAAAAAAAAAATAAAAGTTTTATATCTAACGTATTTACGGGCCGATTTGTCTACTTTTTAAAATATATACCGGCTATGTAAGAAGAATAATGTTTGCATAAATTGGTCTTCCTAGGTGGTGCCAAGGTCGAGATATTTCGAAAAACCGTATTTATGGTCCGATTTGGTTCGAATTTGGCGCATGTGGTTGAAACATAATAAATCATAGATTTCTAATAAATTGACCCTGAACTGGCGCTGAAGTCAAAATATAAAGTATATTCTACATAAAATACATGTTTTATTTGCGTTGAAAATTCATTTAAAAGCAATATTAACAAAAATATAACGATGGAAATTTATGTCACGTCACGCCACGCCACGTCACGTCACGTTTCACACTTGGGGTTGTAAAAGAGAATTGAAACAATTTGCATTAATTCAAAAAACTCTAAAAACAACTAGAATTGCTCCAAATCATATCAAAATAAGTTTCATCAAAATAGCCATCCACAATTCGCAGAGTTTTGCGATTTTGTAAGAAAAGAAAAAATCAACTTCCATTTTTTGTCACGTAACGAACCTCTGTTTAAATGCTTATATTTTAGGACCAAGCAGATCGATTGATTTAATTTTTCGGTTAAATATAGAGCTAATTACGTGCTATACAATGGCCCAAAAAAGTTAAAGAAAACAAATGGTATTCCTTTTTTGTATCACATTGAAATCGTACGACTGTCACGTGGGCCACCATGGGAATGCCCATATACAACTTTTTCATGCCAAGTATGAATCAATTCTCCAAAGGGCTAAAAAGGGCTAGGGGCAATTTTAAATTTATATGGCCAAAAAAAGTATGTGGTAGCTAAATCTAGCCACCAAAGGGCTAACACGGCAACACTGGTCTGGGTTCAGCTCTAACGGATATTACACTCCTCGTCATTTGAATAGCGCACCCTTTTAATCCTTAGTATTTACAGTTTTCCTTTTGTTTATTTAATATCTAATATATAAAAATCTCGTAACACGCTGTTGGTGGACGAACTCCTCCGAAACGGCTCTACCGATCCTTATGAAATTTTTTGTGTAGATATCTTTGGTAGGTATGAGAATCGGATGTAAAGTATATTTCATACCGCTAAGTTAAGGGGGCGTGGCACCTCCCATACAAATCGAATCTTTGGTACTGCATATCTCTGGAAGCGTTCATTGCAGATTACTGGAACATGGTATGGAGATATATAAAATCAATCGCATAGTTATGAGGAAAAATTGGGGCTATTGGGAAAAGGGGCGTGGCACCTCCTATACAAACCGACTATTGTTTCACACATATCTCTGGAAGTGTTCATGGTAGAATGCTGAAACTTCGTATGGAGATATATGAAATCAATCGCATACTCATGGAAAAAATTGACGTTTTTGGAAAAAGGGGTATGGCACCTCCCATACAAACCGAATTTTTCATTGTAGAGTACTGGGACGTGGTATGGAGATATGAAATCATTCGCGTACGCTTAGAGAAAATTGAGGCTATTTGAAAAAGAGGCGTGGCGCCTTTCAAACATAGGCTGACTTCCAAAATGTATCAATACAATATTTGGAAACTGTTATACTACGGTATTCAAACTGTTTGTAAATGCAGAGTTGCGACACATTGCAACCTTATATATTGCATATTTTAAATATTCAATTTAGCAATGAACAACTTTTCTGAATTTTCAATTTTTAAAACACCAATGGTAACCAAACACAAACGAAGCTTCAACTTTGTTTCTGATGCGCTGATTGCTCTAGCGATGCGTTTCGATAAGTTTTCGAATGCGTTTTGGAAAAATAGACATTGTCAACATTTTGTAGTTCGGCGTTATGGGACATTATACTTTGTACGTATGCAAACCAATAGACGTTTTGGAAGTCAGCCATACTGAAACTATTACGTACCTTTGTATGTGTATATAATTATTCTGTACGTGTGTTTGTGAGTGAATCGATTTTAACGAAATTGTTTTGTGTCTTTGAGGTGGTCTCTGGGTTGTTAGATTCACAGTTTGACCCGCCAGGTGGCGCTAGGGTCGTGTTGTTAATTAATCTTACTTATGGATCCGATATGGCTTATATTCGAAATATGTATTGGTATCGTAAAGAGAAATATTTTTGCAAAAAAAACCTTGCCCGCCAAGTGGCTCGGGAGCCGGAGTTACTAAAAATGGTATTTATGATCCAATTTGGAGATATGTATTGTTAAGGGCAGTACTATTACAAAAAAGAGCCGCCGGATGCCGCTGGAGTCGAGTTATATCAATTATATAAATAGGCAATCATGTTTCCTTTACACTCCTTTTGCGGCTAAACTATACCTCTAAGGTATAAACAATTATATATCATTAGAAAGGTATTTTGATGCTGATGTGCAGGCAATTTATCAAATTTCAAATTGGTTTAACATAAAGCGAAAAAATCAATTCAAAAGTGACACCAATACTAATGCCGTACATGTACATGGTTGGGGCGGAAATGCCTCCTAAATGTATGCTTTAATATTGATACTGAATTACAGAAACGTGCTAAGCAGCAGTTTAGGAATAAGATGTATGTATGTACATAAATAGACTAGAGACAAACAATGAAGAAGGTGAAGTTGAGTATGGAGAAGAAGAAAGGGATAAATACAGAAATTAACATATTAACATATTAAGATCAGGATAAAGGAAAAGATAAAGATGAAGAAGAAGATGAAGGCCAAGATGAGGAAGAAGATGAAGATGAAGATGAGGAAGAAGATGAAGATGAAGATGAAGATGATGAAGATGAAGACGAAGATGAAGATGAAGATAACTCACCTCACCTCCGCTTAAAAACTAACTCCACCTGAGCTCACCACACATTAGTTCACCACAGTCTACCACTACTTCACTCCCCACTTCTAAATGCACCACACCTTAGTTCACCACACCTCAACTCACCACACCTTAACCCCCACACCTAAATCCACCACACCTTAATTCATCATACCTCAACTTTCTCACCACACCTTAACTCCCTACACCTAAATTCACCACACCATAATTCACCACATCTCAGCTCACCGAAACTAAATTCACCACACCTAAACTCACCACACCTCTTAAGCCCACCACACCTGAATTCACAACAAAGTAACTCCCACAACCAATTCCTCCACACCCTGAAATATAAAATAATAGCGGCGCTCATATAAATTGATAAACTTCCGACAAACGAGATAAAATGATAATTAAATCAGTTTATCACTTTTGAGGAAGACCCCGAATATATTGCAATACAATGAGGTTTCCGTATGTTTTTTGGTTTTTGGTATCTTATCTTATATATAAATAGGCAATCATGTTTCCTTTACACCCCTTTTGCGGCTAAACTATACCTCTAAGATATAAACAATTAGAAAGGTATTTTGATGCTGATGTGCAGGCAATTTTTATACCCGAGCGCACTTGTGCACAAGGGTATATTAATTTTGTTTACATAACGGTTGTTTGTAACAGCCAAAACGAATCGAGATAGATATAGACAAATGTATACAAATGATCAGGATGAAAAAAGAAATCGATTAAGCCATGTCTGTCTGTCCGTCCGTCTGTCCCTGTACACGATAACTCGAGCAAAAATTGAGATATCTCAACGAAATTTGGTATGTAGGTTTCCCTTAAGCCAAGGTAGGTGGGCGAAATCGGACTTTAACCACGCCCACTTCCCATATAACGGTAATTTCCAGAAATACGAAAACTGCGATATTTTAGTAACTACTGAAGATAATTCACTCAAAATTGATGTTTACAAAAATTTTTAGACGAAAAATAAGAATATTATAAATTTTTGGAAAATGGGCGTAGCCACGCCCACTTATGGTTACATGTGTATATCTTGGTAACCGCTGCACCAATTTCTTCCAAACTTGGCACAGTTGTTGGCCTTCGCATAACATACCAAATGGCAAAATTTTTAAAATCGCTCAATAACCACGCCTACTTCCCATATAAGGGTAATTTTCAGAAATACGAAAACTGCGATATTTTAGTAACTACTGGAGATTATTCACTCAAAATTGATATTTATAATAAGT